GTGTGCCTTGGCAGTCTCAGTTTGAAATCTCTCTTTTCTGCTAACAATCTTTTCTACTAATTTATTCTAGCAACCTTAAAAAATTAAAGAAAATTGGTACGCATTCTAATAATTTCTACATTGATAACTAAATATTTTATTTTATTTATTAATTTTTGTATTATAAATCATGTAGTGTATTATTTTTCTTACAATTGTCAATAATACATTTTAAATTAGATGATATTATAAAATATTTTGGATTTATTATTATTTATATAATAAAATAATTATAAAATATTGTTGGTATATAATATTATAGTTCGTTAGGTTATATTACTTTGGATTTTTTTAGCGGATTAGGGTTTTCTGCTAATTCGAGATTTTAGGAGCCAAATTTTCATCGATTTAATCAACTCTCTATTGTAGTCCATATATGATTATATAATTAATCCATGATAATTCTATGATTTCTTTTGTGCGATGTAAATTTAATGGTCAACATAAGTTCATACACGGAAAGAACATCTCAATATTCATAAATTGATGAAAACAATAAAAGTTAATAATGTAGTACCCCCATTTCTTATTGGATTCCTAAAAAACAATATTTATAATGAATTTTAATAGTTTTTTTTGAATTTTTTTAAGGTTTAATCCGAGTGATTCGGCCCGATTCCCGATTTGGATCGCTGATTCGTCGATCCAAATCGGTTTTTCGGATGCCCGATCCAGGTCACCGATCCATTTTTTAAACCACTGCATAAAACTGTAAGGAATGTGGGTATATGTGGGTATTCATAAATGGTTCTATAATACTGTAAATGTTGCCAATAATATGGGTACATCGTATATGATGGTAGAAGAAATGGTAAAAAAAAAAAAACCTAAGAAACTATGCAGTAGACCCGACCAGACCCGGGACCTGACGGGTAGACCTAACCTCAGGTCCAAGTATGGTTCTACTATTTAGGTCTGGGTCGACCCGTTGCCACTACTACAAATATATCACAATTACCCTTATTTATTGGATATAATATGGGGTGGCTGATGGTGCGCAATTCAAATTTAAAAAAGAAATTTCTCGAAGTTTGTAATATGTTTGATACCATATCTCACCGCTAAAGGTGACAGATCCTCCTTCTACAAAATATAAGCTCTTATAGTATAGAATCCTATCTTGGTTGGACACGAGTAAATAGTGATCACAACAAAGCTAACAATGTGTATGCCTTCCATGTCAAGTGCGTCATCTTGACACCATTTACTTTTGGCATAAAGAAGTCAGAATTACTTAGTGGGTGCGGTTTGTATAGAGGGCTCTAAACAATCCAAGTAGAGTTTACCTTCAAATAATATCGAGAAATGTGCTTTCAATATTAAAAATATTTGTAATAGCCTTAAAATTTATCAACTAACAATATCATGCCTTTCATGTCAGGTGCATCATCTTAACACCATTTACTTTTGGCATAAGGAGGTCACAATTACTTATTGGGTGCGGTTTGTATAGAGCCCAGGCTCTAAACAATCAAATTAGAGTTTACTTTCAAATAATATCGAGAAATATGGTTTTAATATTGAAAATACTTGTAATAGCTTTAAAATTTATTTTCATCTTTATTATAAAGTTTAAAGCTTCAGAAACAGTGTAGATCGATAGATCTATGAAAATTTGAAAATCTTGAAAATTGACGGTCCAAACATACGTTACAAAATACACTATTTTCAAAACTTGAAATTCATTTTTTTCTTATGTCCACATATCTTGATGTCAAGATGATCAATTTCAATTTGAGGATATTTGGGCATCAAAACAACTTATTCTAGTAAAAGTTTTGAGGTGGGCTCAAATTTGATTGTTTAGAGTCTCGGCTCTACATAAACGTTTCTCTTACTTATAACCCTCCGATGTGAAATCTGATGGCTTTGGTGTGTCATAAAGTTTGAGAAAATTTCTTTTGAACTTTGAGCTTTGTCATTAGAATAAATGCAACCATCCAATTTTATATCCACTAGTCAAAATTAATTTTTTCCACCTTGTACCAAAAGTAAATGATATCATTGTATAATTTTCCTTCTTTCAAAACTATTGCTAAGTTGCAAAGATAATTGTTAGTAGGGTTGGGAATGTTCCGGGTCAGCTATGGCCATGGCCCAAGCCCAGCCCACCCTAGATACTGGGCTGGCCTTATCGTGGCCTTGGTTTAGGCCCAATCAGGTCATTGAGCCGTGGTGGCCTAGCCCGACCTCAGGCCACATTTTGTGCGCAGACTTGAACTTTTACACATATAGATCTCATCTCGATGGTAAAAAAATAAAATAAAATTAAAGGCTTCTCACCAAAACAAAAGTGGAGAATTATGTAAATTCCACTTCAATGCACATAGCACCTCCAATACTTTCTTTATTCCCATCACCAACCTTGTTAATATTTTCTTTTGCATTGACCCCTCTATTGAACTTTTTAAGCAATACCAAAATACATCTCTCATATATAAGAAATTTTAAGTATAAAGGTAGTGCAACCCTTAGAGGGTTAGACCAACCTTACTTACCTACAAATACTTTCGCCAAGGTCGACCTAGCCATAATGTTTGAATTTTGTTTGTTTTAGATTGAGAAGGGTATTTTTATCCAAAATGCCAAAAAATTCAAATAGGGGTCGATTCAAAGAAAAATAGAAATAAAGTTTATAGTGTGGATAGAAAAGTATATATATATATATATATATATTTGTATTGTTTTTTGTTTTTTGTTTTTTTTTTTTTTAAGGGATGGAAGTTTATATAATTTTTCCAAAAAAACAAACTAAAGAAACCACCTATTCGATACAGCATCCATTTGGTGGATTACCAATCTAAACTTGTAAAGACTCAAATAATCTTTTTATCAGCATAATTTGATTTTTTTATCATAAAACTTATGCAAGCAGACTAGATTATGTTGTCCTTTCCCTCTTCTATTATACACACGATGTTTAAGAGCATAGAACGGACAATAAAAGTTGGTTTGAATAAGGTGTCAACCTTATACTATTGAAGTAAGGTACACTTCAAAACTATGTTCAAAACATAGTTTTGGTGCCACAAAACTTTGATATATTATGAAAATCTATTGTTATCTCCAATTATGAAATTTAAAATTCCAGAAATGGCAACGATCAAGAAAATCTATAAACATTTAAAAATCTTAAAAATGGATTGGTTAGAGCTTATAAATAACCACATGGGTCAACAATATAAGGTTGACACCTTATATACGCTTTCTCCATTAAAAAAAAAAGAAATAAAAGTGTTTTACGCTTCTTATCAGCGAAACGGAAGAGCAAAGGAATGCATGGTGTTCGCTTGCTCCCTCGAGTGAAAAAGTTACGAATATTTTTTAGATCAGAAAATTTAGGTTCGAGTTAAAAATCTCTAGATGATTAAAATTCACATAAAACCCCATTTTTCAATTTTTTTTTTTTTAAAAGTAGTCCTTATATTTTGGGCGTGGTTTCTATAAGGTTGCAAACCTTAAACGATCCAGTTAAGGCACGCTTCTAAATTTTATCTTAACATGTAATTTTGATTTAAAAAGTTCACATGATTATCTTAAAATTTATTTTCAACCCTAATTATAAAATTTTAAATTGCAAAAATGGTTAAAATCAAGTAGATCTATAAATATATGAACATCTTGAAAATGGAAGGTCTAGATAATGTGTTGCAAGAAGCACTCGTTCTAGGACTCAAATTATTATTTTTTTTCTTTTCATATTCATGCATCTTGATGTCGAGATGATCAATAAGAGGGGTTTTCAACATTAAAACAACCTTTTCGGATGGATTTTTGAGGTACCGCTTTAATTCTACATTTTAAGATTAGAACCTTATATAAATTTTTTCCTTATATTTTTATATTTTAAATTGAAGTCCAACACTTAATGCATCTATTTTTTAAAGCTCTTTACGAGGGTTTGTTTTTTTTTTGCTCTCTTTTTCTTTTCTTTTTTTTTTCTTTCCTTTTTGTTTTGATGTTATGTGCTAGGTTAAGGAAGATACTTCCTCAAAATAAATTTGAGATGTAAAACTACCCCTTCGTTGGTTTAGCCCTAGTGAGCAAATGGACCATCTAATCAGTTTGATCCCATAGGACAACTGAATAATTTGAGTTTAGCAGAGAGAGAGGAAAGGAAGGAGAAAGGAAGTCTTACATTCCCATTTCCAAGCTTCAATCTCAAAAAAAAAAAAAAAAAAAATAAATAGGAGAGAGAGAGAGAAGAAGAGACGAAGTAAAAGAGGCACACGAATCTGAATAACCACAGAGGAACTCCTGCCTACACTTTTATTCCCTAATTCAAGATAGAGAGATAGAGAGAGAGGCAACTCAAGAGAGAGAAGGGGTGAGGAAGAGAGAGAAAGGGACAGGGTGCATAGAACTAGTTAACCTTAGGAAGAGGCACACCAGGTGAGGGCAGCCCAAGAGAGCAGAAAGAGTTGAGCTGAGAAAGTAGAGCTGGATTTACCCCACCAGGGATCCAGATGTTGGCCCAGCAGTCGACGCCGACGTTGAGGATGGCCTTGCAACAGCTAGGACCAGGGTAGTTTCTTCCTGTGAGAAGGAAGGTGTAAACCTCTTGCCAGCAACCGGCGATGTCGGTAACGGCGGCCCAACACTCTGTGAAAGTCTTCTGTTCAGTCTCCTGAGCATGACCGGTGGCGAAGACCGAGGCCACGATGATCATGAGCAAGGTTGCAAGCTTCATGTATAAACCCATTCTCCCTCTCTCTCGTCTTTTTCTTTTTGTTTCTCTTCTTTTCGTTTTCTCTCTCTAATGTTTTCTGGTTGGTTTGTTGGAGGTGTTCATGTGAAGGGGGTATTTATAGGGTCCTGTTGGGCTCTTTATCGGTTTTGTTGGGTCGAAAGGTGAGAAAGGAAACGCAGTGTGGACAATGCATGGATGGGTTAAGTTATGCATGGATTGCCGTTCGTCTGTTTCCTGGAAGAGAGAGAAAGAGAGAGAGAGAGAGAGTGAGAAGGGGAGCAAGCATTAAGGTGAATGCATGGGTGGAATACGTTATGAATGATGGACGGTTAGTGTTTTTCATGTTATTGAAAACTGAGTGATTTATGTACGGATCATAAAATTTTAGGTAAAATAAAAAGAGTGTGTCAACCCAAATTATTCTATTTTCTTCAAAATTAGTCTTTGGTCAAGTTGAATTTTGATTTTTTTTTTTAGTTTTTTCGTCAGTACCAAAAGTTTTAAGGCACTGCTCTACTAGCAAAAAAAAACTACAAAAAAAAACTTAAAAAAATCAAAATTTGTGTTGATCAAAGGGTAATTTTTAAAAAATATGGAAAAGGATTGACCAACTTTCTTTGCAATTTCTACGTTTAAGTAGAGAATTTCTTTTTTTGTCTAAATTTTTTAAGTATGTACGTAAATCACTCTTGAAAATATACCTTTATGAGAACAAAAACCATGAGGGAGAGAGAGTGTGTTGGGAGGTTATGTTAAAAAAAAAAAAAAATTAAAATAGAAAAGAAGAGAGGATGGGGTTTACCCTACTTACAACTTCCTGTGAGAATGAAAAGCTCGTGGATGATATAATTTTGATTGGAAAATGTTTATTTTTTCGGAGATGAGCCCTTTAACACTCCTCCTTTCTTTTACCAACAACGTTTTTTCTCGCTCTCTCACTTCTCTCTCTCTTGATTCTCCAAGTAAGGATTTTCAAGTATTTGCATATAACTAGTTATTTTTTAATTGACGTGTCCTAAATACAGGGCCAAATGGGTAGATTTGTTTATGGGATTTTAATTGAATAATGATACTACGAAACCCTCCCATACCCGTGTGAGTAGAATTCAAAGGATCACCATCAAATTTTGACACAAATCTCTAAAAACGTTATCACATGGGTGTATTACTTGGATACCAAAAAACTAGCATCTAATATATTACCTATCCTGAATTTGAATTTCCATGGATCCGGATAGGGCATAAAGATTTCTCAAGTCATTTGTGGTTATGTGGTGATCTAGCAGGGTATTTTAAAAAAAATTAAAAAATTTACATAAAATGGTAAAAAGTAAGGGATTCATTTGTAATGTGTTTTTTAATGTTGTTTTTATTTTTTTAGATTTGAAAGTGTTTTGATTATGAATACTACTATTTTTTCAATCTTTTTTTGAAAATTTTAAAAATACCCTTAGGAATAAATATACTTTTCTATTTTTTCTATCTTCTTCAACTTCATTTGGATGAGCTTTGTTTAATCATATTTTAAAGATAGTTTTCTTTTTCTTTTTTTACTCTTTTTTTTTTTAACACTTTTTTCACTAGTTAGGACTTGCTTGGCTAGGCTGGTTGAAACGACCGATTTACTAGTTACTCGAAACTAGCTGTAGGCCAGTTTTCGAGGCTGGTTTAATTTTTCAAACACTGATTGGATATTAGAGTGTCATAAGTATGATTAGGGAATTTTGGGACTAGCAAACACTCTTAGGGCACATGTGATAATTGGAAGTTCCAACTCTAGAAGTTAGGAGTTCTAGTTTATTGTTTCACTCCCTTGTTTGATTTTGGGTTTTAAAAACTGAGAACCTACTGCTTCCATCTACCCAAGGAAGTTCGCATATCTTAATTTTTAGGAAATTCACCTCATCTTTATTGCTTCCCGTGTCCCTTTTCTCTACGTCTCTCAGACTCCTCTCAATAACCATGCCCTTTCTCTACTACATCCGATCTCTCTAACCATGCCTATATTTAATTCCTCAATGTGATTTTTCTCTCTCGAACTCCTCTATCTAATGCTCGCTATCTTGTTAAAACCTCTCTCTAGCTCAATCTTTAACCATTCCCTTTCTTTTTCTAAATCTCTTTAGCCATGTCCTCTTTCTCTCTAATCGTGTCCTTTCCTCGTTTCTTTCTCTAATCATGCAATTTTTCTATCTAACTTCGTGCTCTAACAATGCCATTTCCATATCTGACTCATTTATCTATCTAACAAGGTACCCTCTCTCTCTCTCTCTTTCTAATCGTGCTCATGCCATTTTCTTTCTCTAACTCTTTCTATCCCTAAACATGCTCTTTTCTCTCTCTAATTATGTCCTATTTCTCTCTCTAATTCCTCTATATAACAGTGCCTTTTATCGCTGTAAGTCATTTTCTCTCTCTAAATATTCCTATTTTCTCTCTCTAAATATTCCTTTTGCCTCTTTCTCTCTCTTTTTCCTTTTTTTTCCTCTAAGGTGTCCTTTTTGTTAGCCTTTTACTGTAACAGTGACTTTTTTTTTTTTTGAGGAACATTAACAACTATATTAAAACCACATTGCAACATTACATTACCACACAGCTTATGAGAATTGGCAAATCAAAAAAAAGAAAAAATACAGATAAGAGCTCAGCCATCTTGAACAATGGTCAGACTCGAAGCACTAACTCCAACTTTCGCAAGGGCATCAACCTCCATATTGCTTTCCCCAACCTGCACAATCTGAACCTCCAAACTCTTACAAACATCAATCAACTCTCTAATTAAACTATGTAAACCCCAAGGATAATCTGCTTCTCCTTTGATGCACTTCACAATATTCATAGAGTCCCCTTCAATAACAGTAGGCTTATTAAAACCACTTGCCAACTTGACACCTTGCAGTGCAGCCCTGCACTCTGGCTCATTAGCTGTAGCAATTCCTATAGGTCCAAAAAATTTCATCAATAAACCACCTCTACTGTCCTCGATAATCCCACCAATACCCACAGTACCTGAATTGCTATCAAAGTTTATTTTAATCCATCCTTCTGCTGGACATTTCCATATCCCCACTCTCATTTCCTTAATTTGTTGTTCTTTAATAAGAAGATGCAAATTATATATGAGATCGATCTTAGGAAAACCCCGCTACCCCTTATTTACCCCCAGCCAATCGGATACAACACCTCTAATCTTATCCACCAACTGTCCACTTAATTTAGCTCTGCTCTCAAAACAATGCTGATTCCTCTCCTTTTAAACCTCCCACAACACTGCTGCTTTAACTTCCTTCCAAATAATTCTGCCTTTTTTACTTAAACCATTCATAAACCAATCCCCAAAAATATCATCAAACTGATTAGGACCTGCCCCACTAACCCCAAACTCAATAGAATCTTAACCCACACCTCCTTTACAAAACCACAACTCATGAATAAGTGTTCCACATTTCCCTCATTGTGTTTACGTAAGATACATTTTACCTTTCTTACGCAGCATATCAATGGTTAAAACTCTTCTTAACTTCACCAACCATAAAAAAGCTCTTACTTTCATAGGTATGGGCCATTTCCATATTTTACCTGCTTGAATATCTGCCCACCTAATCCGATCATTATAAAGCAACTTATAGGCTGAACTAACTGAAAATTTTCCACTTCTATTAGGTTCCCATATAACTTTGTCCTCTAGATTAGGGCAATAATAGAACTGATTGAGAAATTCCAGCCATTGTACATATTCATTCACCACATCATTACTAACTCTTCTATATGTGTAACAAATATCTCACTCTAGATTGAAACCCCTTCCTTCCACCATTTCATACATAGTCTTACTTTTTTAATTGACTTTAACAAAAATAAAAGAAAATATGAGCTTTAAAGAACTTTCTCCGATCCATTTTTTCTTTTGAAATCTTACCTTATGCCCTTTTGGTAAAAACGAAAAAAAATCCACGAAAACAAGAAAGAAGAAACAAACATAAAAAAAAGAAACAACCAACCACAACGCAATGATATACGTGGTTAAAAAATGTGCCTACGTCCACTAGAGATGAGAACTTCTTTACTGGCAATGGAGAATAGGGTTACAAAAAGTTCTCTTCCTCACACCTCTCGGATTATATAGCAATCAGTGTTTTTTCCTTAACCTTAGATAAACCCCCAATCGCAACAATATATATCGAGTTTCAAATAAATGGTACAAATTATCGAAATACCCTTGTACGGATATATATTAAGTCCCAGATATATCGAATCCCATGTACGGATATATCTGGGCCTCAAGCCCTACGGGCCTTCAACCTTTCTGGCTTTTAACGGCCCTCCAGAGTCGTCTTTTTTACTTCACCTTGACAGATCTATTTCCTCATAATACAAAACATCAATCCTCAACACTTTTCCAACTAAACTCATCATATTACTCAAGAAAAACCTTCCATGAACAACTATACCAGTCCACATTAATGATACACTTTTGTTACGAGATCCTTTAGCCACTATACCAAGTTAAACATCCTCGCCATACTTCTCTCCTACTATCCTTTTCCCTTACTGATCTTTCTCATTAACACTTTTCCACCACCAATTTGTTAAAAGAGCATTATTTGTAAGGTTCAATTTTCTCAAGCCCATACCTCCCTCCTCAAGTGAAATGCAATCCTTTTCCCATTTAACAAGATTACATTTCTTATTACCATCTTTTTCACTCCATAGAAATCTTCTCATCAAATCCTCGATTCCTTTACAAACACTCCTCGACATCTTAAACAGTGACATATAATATATAGGTAGATTTTCCACAACTGACTTAATCAAAGTAATTCTACCTCCCAATAAAAGTAATTTATACTTCCAAAAGTCAAGCTTATATTGAATCCTTTGAATGACTGGGTCCCATAAAGTCATTGTTCTATCACTCTCCGACAAAGGAAGTCCCAAATATTTGACAGGAAACTTACCTACCTTACAATTCATACAATCAGCAAACTGTTCCACTATATTCTCATCACAAG